CACCCACCCACACACACACACACACATACACAAAAGAAAAAGTAAAAGAAAGGGGCTCAGTCTGAGTCTGTAGGAGCCAGTAAGTTGGTAGGCACGTGAGGATAAAGCAGTTGTTCTGTGGGCAGCTGGGCAAAATCATGGGTATGAACTCTCACGGTTTAAATGACTGAGCATATACACCAAGTCATCTGAGCACAAACCTGAAGGCCTGGACTGCATGGAGAAACCATTCTCCTGAGCCCTGTGTGAGTAGAAAGGTGCACATCTGAGTTAGGGTTTCCCGATGCAGAGCTCTCTGAACTACTATGCTGTGTCCCACGGCCTATGCAGCAGCAACGCTCGGTTCATACTGTCCTCTGTTCTGATGATGAGTTTAAATTTATTTTAAAATTTAATTTATAAATGTTTCTGTTTATGAATTTCCACTGTGGCTCCTTAGACTTTACCTACCTGTCTGGGTTCTGATGTTAACTGCTGCCAACTCATTCTGGGATGTGAGACATGTTGTTTAATTCTTTGTATCTTCATTATGAAAATGGGCTGTCATATCTACCTTTAAGCTTATTGAGAAGATTAAATGCTGCAAAATACATGAGAGATTTAGAACAGTACCTGGCGCAAAAGAAGCCCTTTGTCTTAGTCATTTTCTTCGTTGCTGGGACAAAAATGCCCAACACCTTGAAGGAGAACAACACCTCCACTTGAAGGAAAACAGGTTTATTGTGGCTCACATTTTAGGAGTTGCAGTCCTAGCATGGTCAGAGGGCTCCAAGTAGAAGCAGGAGGATGGAAGGATCTAGTGGAGGAAGCTGCTCACCTCTGTGGCATGCCAGAAGTAGAGAGAAGGGAGAGTGGAAAGAGATAAACACTTCCAGGTCACACACCCACTGACCTGCCTCTTCTGACCAGGCCCAGTTTCCAACACCACACCAGATATAGCACCCCAATAATCAACCACCATCCACAAACTTCACTTCCTGCGGGCATGAGGCTTTGGGGCGACATCCAGATATAAACCATAACATACTCGTTACCTGTATTATTAATAATTAAAAACGTGTACAATTCATGATTTCAGTCAGCCTTCAACACACCTGTATCCCTCACTTTTTATTTTAAAGTACGTTACCTCTCATCAGTGATGATTTTCTATATTTAGCCTTGGGAGCACAGAGTTGAGGGACAGTGAAATATTGATACAGTATGTAACATTTTTCCTCTTTCTATTAACCTGAATTTTCTTGGGAGTCAAGAGAGGAATTTTTGACAAATGTATATCAGATCCCCAGGAAGAACTATCAAGTAAGAGCCTGAAGCTCGAGGGAGAGGTTAGAACAGTAGTGGCATGCAGCGGGCTGTTTGCATCATGGAAAGCTCTAAAAGGTTCGCCATCACTGGGCTAGGAGGCAGAGTTTTATCTTGGTTAGTGCTTTGTGCAATCACCAAGGCAATGGATGAATGAAGTAAAGAGAGCCAGGCTCCACGCTGAGGATGTGCAATGGTGACAGGGTAGGAAGATGAGGTGCAGCCAAAGAGACAGGAGTAGCCATGGAAGTGGCAACAAGAGTAGGAGAATGGTGTTCTTTCCCTCAGGAAGGGAGTAGGCAACTGTGAGAAGTCAGGGGAAACGAGCCAGGGAGAACACTGGATTTGGCACAGTGAGAGGTGGTAGTCACTGATGACAATGATTTCAATGGATTAGTAACAAGAGAAGCCTGGTTGGAGAGGCTTACCATTTGCACACAGGGTTCAGCGGCCAAGCACTTGCCTGGCATGTGTAGGCCCTGTGTTTGATCCCCAGCACACACACACATGCACACAAAAACCTAACACAAATACGTAGTAGGCTTTGCGTGTATGTAAAAGTTTATTTTTAACAGTACTAATTTAGCACTCCAAGAAAAAACAGACTCTAATGAGAGCTGTCAGCTATGCCCCTAGCCTAGTAAGGTTTCATAAAAGAGGTGAGATTTGAGGATGGTTTAGGGCATGGAGGTGGTTTCTTTTTCTTTTTCTTTTTTTTTTTTTTTTTTTTTTGGTACCGGGGATTGAACTCCAGTCCTTGCGCTTGCTAGGCAGGGCACCGAACCGCTGAGCTAAATCCCCGGCCCCAAGGAGGTGGTTTCTTAGTGGACAAGAAATAGATATCATCCCCAGGCCCACCAGACACCATAAGCAGTACAGGGAGGAATCAAGTCCCCAATAGAGAATGAGAAAACACAATGGCGCCCAAAGACCACACACACTTAAGACTCATCCCTAAAATATTCTTTGATGCCTCCCCTTTCCTAGCTTAATGTACATATTTTCCATATGCATCTCTGAAATTCATGGTAAAGAAAGTAGAACTCCAACATGGTTAGAAGCCTGAGAAATTCATTGGGACTTGAGTCTATACCATTTCATGGGCATTTGGTTTAGCCCTAATTGTGATGCCGAGGTTATTTATTGGAGCTGCTGTTGCCATAGAATTAATCTTCAGAATCATCAATGAGATCCAGAAGCACTCTTTTAAGTAAACGTCTTATTTTTGAATACTTTCTGACTTACAGAAAAATGGTGAAGATAGTACAAAAAGTTCCCATATGGAGTAAGCAGCTTACATTAGTATGGTACATATGTAACACTTCACAAACCAACACGATATTATTATTATAAAGTTCAGTGTTATTTAGATTTCCTCGGACTTTTACCTTATACCCTTTTTTTTGGTTCCACATTCCCATTCAGGATGCGACAATACCTTTAGTCGTCTTTTTCAGGAGGCATTGTAAAGCCCTTAAAAATCTTTCAAGAAAGCAACAAGGTTTAAATGTCCTTTGGTTCCAACACTGTACCTCATACCACTAAAGGAAAACTCTGTTCATGCTCTTCTAAAACCAAACGGTTGGAACTTGAACAGGAACACAGACAAAAGGAAAAAGCCTTAGTTACATCTTGAGGTAAAAATTCAACGTTCTTGATCACAATGTAATAATGTGCAACAGCAAGTGGAAGATCTGATTCCCCTTTTATTGCTCAGGAAGCAGGTGATTAAAATGTTCAAGGCCTGCCAGTCTCTTTTTGCTCCTGGTCTCCTAGCAAAGAGATTGGTGTGCTGCTCACTGTACTTGGCAACCTCACGCAGAATCTGGCCCAGTGATTTGAGCAAAGCTCCCCCGAGTTGGCTTTACAAGACTGAACTCTTAAATTTTTGCAGGTTGGGGTGGGGGGAGTTTTGCAACATGAACTATTAAAATCCTTCCACAGAAGGTGGGCCTGGCTGCCCAGGCCTGTAAATGCCAGCATCTGGGAGACTGAGGCAGGAGAATCAGAGTATGAACCCAGTATGTGAGCTCTTAGCGACTTGGCAAGACCCCATCTCAAAATTTTAAAACAACAAATGGACTGGGAATGTAGCTCAGTGTGGAGGCCCTGAAAAGAAAATCCCTCAATAGAAGGCAAAGAGGACCCGGGCTCGGTGGTGCTCACACTTGTCTGAGACGCCCATGCATTGGCACTGCGTAACCACGAGTCCTACATCCATGGCCTCATGCAAGCTCAGTCAGAAAATACACAGGAGAAACTAATGCATCCATACTGAACATGAACATGTACAGGCTTTTCTCTTGTCATTATTCCCTAAACTATAACTATTTATACAGCATTATGTATGATAAGCAATCTAGAGGCAATTTAAAATTATACAGGAGGGTCTGTGTAGATTATATGCAAACGCTATACCATTTTATATAAGGAACTGACTCATCTTCAGAGTTTGGTATCTGCAGGAGGGGGCAGGGGATTCCTGAAACCAATCCCCTGCGACTGCTTAGGGACGAGTGTACACTGTCCCTTCCTCTATTTCCCTGCAGCCCTTGGAAAGTGTGTAGCATGAGACAGAAGAACAGTGACCATAGCTTGGACTTTCAGCTCACAGTGCATATTCCAGGCTGGCATAATGTATTTCACCCTGTGGCCCCATCAGAGTCACAGTGAAGTTGCAAGTCTGCCTTGAACCTAGACTAAGCGCATTGGTAAAGTTACAGGAAGTTGGGGTTGTCTCGCGGGACTTTTGCCAGGGATCATCCTCAAAAGCCATGGCACTGGAGAATAAGCTCTAAAGTCCACCCTCTCAACCATATACAATGACTGACTATGATTTCCCTGTTTTGGCTAAGCCATGTGATGAAATTCCTCCTGAGGATGAGTTTTGCTTGTTGCTTGGATAACATGATACACCCCACAAAACTAGGAGGGAATGGGCAAAAGAGAAAGTAGAGGTCAATAGCATGTCTCTTTGACTTAGCTACTATACAGATTCCTTTAGATAATATAAATATTCCTGGAAGGCCTCCATGTGTCAGTTGCTATGTCAAAGACTGGGGAAATCACAGCCAGCAAGAAGACAAAGACTTTGTCACATCAGAAACCCGACTTTCATACACACCAGCAGCAGGGGTCCCGCTGAATCCAGTGAATTGGTGGATGTCCTAGTCACTTTCTAATCGCTGAGCCATGATACCTGACATTTACAAATTGAAGGGGAATTTATTTTGGCTCACGGTTTTAGTCCATGGTCCGCCAGCTCCCAGGCAGAAACGGCATGGCCTCACGTCATGGCTGTCAGGAAGCAGAGAGAAAAGTGAAAATACAAGCAGGGAGATGCAATTCCAGGTTATACCTCCGGTGACCTGCCTCTTCTGACCAGGACCCACTTCCACAGTACATCCAGCTCTGAATTCTTCATAGACTAATCCACTGATGGCCACAGCACCTCCATAATTCTAACACCTTCCAGAAGCCTCACCTCCAAACACATGAGACTTCTGGGGCATGTCCCAGATCCAAACCATAGCAGTGAGTGAAATCAACACCCAACTGAACTCAGTGCTTTGCTTCTTACTCCTCTTGGACTAGAAACACTTGAAGTGGAAGATCTGAAGCACTTCAGCCCATTTCTATTATTAAATCAATAAATCTTGAAGCAGTAACTCAATTGTTACCTGAAGAATCCTGGCTCCCTGAGCCTGTGGACCCAAAGAAAGTGAAATTAGCACTAACAACTTGTATTTTGCTGACCTGTGCTCCCATCTGCCTCAGGCAGGTCCTTACCTTCTCCATGTCCCTATGTCTTTACAAGAGAGTCTCTATCACTTATTAAAGTGTCATGAGTCTCAGGCCTGTGCTCCCAATGACCCTTTCATGTGTTTCCGTCCCTGACCACTGTCAGATATTGACTGTCCCTTACCTTTCCCATGGAACCCTCTGTTAATTGGAGGACCAAAGACAGTGCCCAGAAGTGTCCCCAGACTGTTATTCTGCCGGAGCCAAGTGGTGCACTGGTCCTTCACTCCTCACTGTGCCAGATCTGAGCTGAGAGAAGCCTCTGTCCACTGCTCAGTGTCCTACTTTGTCATCAGGGCAAGGGGCACTTGCGTCCCACTTCCCAGAATTCTTGAGGCGCAATAAGAAACCTGTGCCTACACCTCCACTGGACTCAGCCCAAGGCACAATCAGGACCAGGAAGACACAGGTGTCACTGCCCAGTCCCTGTGCTCATCCCTGCCTCATGACCTGGGACATCCTCACCGTGCTTCCTTTTCTCTTCCTCAACCATCTGTTCCTCCTGGAGACGGTCACCTCCTCAACTCAAGACATGTCCAGATGCAAAAGCCAGGGCTGGGCTGGCCCCGTGGAGGTGACTACTCTGAGATCATGGAGCTTCGATCTTTGGGAAAATAATGACAGAGCTCAAGACAGTTGCATTGTGACTTATGATTCAGTCTAGTGATGTAATAAGCCACACAAAGCACTAGGTACACACTGCAGACCATGAATAAAAAAAGGCTGGTTGGTTTGGTCCAAAAATATGATGTTGTGGCTTAGCTTCCTCATAGTCCCTGTATTTGTTTCCTAATGGCATCGTATCAAATTTCTACAAACTTAGTGGCTTGTGGCGGTCCAGCCTTCACAACACGAACATGCCTGAGTTGGGGAGTGAGGATTGAGAAAGGAAAGAACACTCAAGCCTGAGTGGAGACCAAGAGAAGTCTGGTTTATTTCATAGAAACAGCTCCTTTTAAAGGCATATCAACAGGAAGCACGTGACTCCTACAGATAATATCAGATCTTTGGCTATCTGAATTTCTCCCATGCAGGTTCAAAAACAAGTTTAACACGTGGAGTCCTTAAAAAGGAACAAATGTTAGCAAATGCTAATTAGGAACATCCTGACCACACATTGTGTCGATGCCTTGATTATAAAGAAAGAAGTTATCTTTCAAATGTCAAATGCCAGTGGGCCATGACACAAATGTGTCTTCTTACACTTCTGGAGGTAACAAGTCCCAAATCAGTCCGACTTGGCTAAAGTAAAGATGTCCATAGGGCTGGATCTTTCTGGAGACTCCTAGGAAGGATACAGTCCTCATTTGGCTTCTAGAGGCACCAGTGCTCCTTGGCTATAATCACTCCAATCTCTGCTTCCGTTGTAACATTGCTTTTGTCTTCTCAGTCTTCTGCTGTGTCCTTCTTACAAGAACCTCTGGGATTACATGGGGCCTATCCAGTTGATTCAGGATCATTTCCTCATCTCTAGATCCTTAACTTAATCCCACCCGCCCAGTTCTTCTTGGCACACAAGGTCCCAGATTCACAGGCTCCAGGCATTAGCACGTGGACGTTTGGGGGTCATTACTCACCCTGCCTCTCATTGTGGTAGGACTTAGAAACCAGAAATGACTTCTTTTGTTCATATTCCATACTGCTGCTATTCCTTCACACATTTTATACACATTTGAACTAGTAGAAATGAAAATTAGGCAATTAAATTATATTCATTGATTCCTAGACTCCACAATTTACAAGAAGACAGGTGTAAGCCAGGCGTGGTGGTGCACGCCTGTAATCCCAGCACTTGGGAGGCTGAGGCAGGAGGATCACTGTGAGTTCGAGACCATCCTGGGCTACATAGTGAGTTCCAGGTCAGTCTCAACTACATAGTGAGATCCTGCCTCAAAAAAACCAAAAAAGGTCTGCGGATTTAGCTCAGTGGTTCTGCCACCTGCCTTGCAAGCACAAAGACCTGAGTTCAATCCCCAGTACCAATAAATAAAGAAAGAAAGAAAGACAGGTATAAATCTGATAGAATTTGTTACAGGAAAAAAAATCAAGGGAAGAGGCATTTTTACTTTATGCTAAGTCTGCTCAGTAGTCAAACTTTTGATAAAATGATGCGGTGAATGAAACTTTAGATTTCTTTGAGGTGGTTTTGGGGATGCTCTAACAGAGCATGCTGTTACAGTCCTGTTATCACTGTAATCCTCACATGGAAAACTATTGTAGTTTATGAATAATGTTATACTACCATAGATATCATACTATACTTCTCAGTAGAAGTCATAGTACTTATGAATAGCACCAGTGGATTATCTGTATGATCCCATGCATCTTGCTTTGCTCTTATTATAACCTTGTGTGGTAAGATTATCATCACATCGAGAGACATGAAATTTGGGTTTTTGGACTGGCCCAACAATACACACTGAGTTAAACATAAACAATCACAATGACATTTTAAATCAGGTCCTGTGAAGACCCAAACTGCACGCTGGAAGCTAATTTTGCCACAATTTTGACCCACCGAGATATGAATTTTTACTTCCTCTTTTCTAAATGAGAAAATTATATCAGATGACAACAGAGCTCTTAGATTCTACAGCATAACCAAACAAAATGCTGATCACATCGGAATCATGGTGAACTCAGTTCCTACCTCTCACAGTGAGCCACAGTGAAAAGGAAATAAATGGCTTTGACCAACACAGCGGCAACTTCAGCATCAGACACTGATGAGGGTATATGAAAATTAAGTGGCTCATACCAGTGTCAGGGTTTGCTGTTGTGGAATGCAAAGAAGAAAGCGAAGACAACACTTATCACATAAGGAAAGCACTGAGGAGAGACCCAAAGTAACTTAATTTGCAACTTTGTAAGCTTTGAAATATTAGACAATGAGGAAATAATTACCTCCTTTAAATATCATCTTGCACAGTGTTTCTCTCCAAACTTCCTCCTGCAGGGTGTTTGAGGAATGGTGCCAAAGGAAAGAAAACTGCTAAAAATCCTTTCTCTCAAAAAAATTTTCAAGGTCCTAAACCTCATGCCTTTGCATGGACCCTCTGTGACCTTCTCAGCCACATAAGACAGAGTAGCTAGCTTCCTTCTTGGCCTAGACCAGGAGGGTGACAGCACCTGTCCCTCTGTGGATAGGCGGGAGCCTCACTGGAAACAGGTGACCATCCCTCCTTTCTGGAGCGCTCTGCAGGTGTCTCCAACCCTCCTCCCTCAAATGAGTCTTGCTGAATCCTTGCTATCCCTGTAACAAAGGACCAGGTAAAGATAAGGCTTAAGCACAAATACCTTTGGGCAAGGTGTGTTGGTTTAAATTCCTATGAAAGCTTAAACAGCTGATGTTAGATCCCATTTAAGATCAGGTTTTTTTCAACACTGTTCACCTGGAAAAAAACAGGTGGAGGGATGATGGAAGAATTAAGAGGAAGGCCCAGCAAGGGGATCCTGGGCACGGGGGAGATGCTCTACTCACCTCCCACTGGCTCATCGCTCATCCTCATTAGCTGCTGGGTTTCCCACCAGTTTAATGAAACCACCTAGAGCTTCTTGTCTCTGAGAATGGACTCAGCCTCTCTCATGGCTGTCAAGGAGCCTAGTGTATGTTTCCAGGAGTGAACTTTCCAGCCATACCATGTTGGGATGTTAAGAATGAGATACCAAGTACTTCCAGTGGTGCCTGTCTGGGCTCTCCTGCTTGCTACAGCACTGGCTGTCTCTTAGAATTCAGGCAGGTGTCTAAAACGCATGCCTACAAGAAGTAGGAATCTTGTCCTCAATCCTACCCTTAATCCTACTCTCTTGGGTCTCTCCATTCCCTTAGTGATTCCAAATGTTAAAAGAGATTTATCGGGAGAGCCTGGAGTTAGGAGTCAGCAAGTGGAGAGATGCTTATCATCAAAGAAAATACAAAACAAAAGTGTCTCTTAACTTAGAATTTGCTGTCTCATCTCTCTTGTCCTCCCCAATTCAGTCTCCTCAGTTACCCTCCTCAACCACAGATCAGAACAGATGTCCCTGCTACAGTCACTCCCTCATTTTTGGCCCTTGCAGTGACCTCCAAAGTGAGTATGGACACCATTTAGGGTGAAAGCTTGTTCCAAAGTCCAAGACAGTGTGGTAGAACTGAAAACATGCAAAGATTCATTTTTATTTATTTTTTATCCCCAATTTTTAAAAAGTTCTACTGCTTGTGTATTATTTCTAATGTGGACAATGTGTAAGTAGCTCATATATGTTTGGCCTTTGCAAATTAAAAAAAAATTATATATCTACTGGGGAGAATTTTAAAATTTTTTATTGATGGGGTAAAGATCAGCAGAATTCAGTGAACAAATTGATGCCAACATAACATTTAACCCCTTCAGGTTGGCCAGGAAGGACCTATCTAACCTTCTGTTGCCAATGTTTTCAGCCTCATGGGGCCCTTAGCCATCTGATATGTGCTCTGAACACATCAAGCACTTTAGTCATTCAAGATTTTGCTCAAGTGACTCAAACCTCTGCATTGTCTCACCTCTCCCACCCCTAAGACCTCTGCTTAGTCCAAACATCATCCTCTTTGGGAGTCTTTCCCACCCTTTCCTGCCCAACCTTTCATTCGTATCTTTAACAAGCACCACCAAAGACATTGCCTTAAAATTATTTGCCCTGTTGTTTATTCACAGAGTGTATCCTAAGTTCCTTGGGCAAATTTCAAGTCCCTGAAGGAGACACCATGTCTTCTTCCTTCTTGATTTCCCATGACTTTGGCTATTGCCCGGCCTTAAACAATGTTCCTTGAACGTTGATTTCTCATTTTCATTTGAGAAGAGGATTTAAAGTGCAAGTTGCAAAACCTTAGCACCTGCTGTGTTCATCAGTATAGTGCTGATGTACTTTAAAATATCAGACACTGCTATAGTTTGGGTCTGGTTGTCCCTGTAAAGCCTCATGCAGTCATAGGTGGGAGAATCTAGAGTGTGTGATGCTGGGATTACAGGCATGTGATTACTAAACCACTACATGCGAGTGATTGGTTTGGCACTGCCCTAATCCTGGTAGTCCAAATAAAGAGGGCAGGAAGATGCTGGTAAGGTCTCTTGTTGCTTTTGCTGCTTCCGCTGCCACAAGCTGTTGCCCCTCTGCCACCCTGCCTTGGAGCCAGACCGTCATGGACTGAAACCTCTACACACTATAAGCCAAATGAACCTTTCCCCCTCTAACCTTGGGTGTCGGGTATTTTGACTCCGCAATGAGAGAAAAGTAACTAATACAGTCACTCTGAATAGGAAGACCTATTTTTCTTTGCAATGTAGTCTAGGGAAAGAGGGTGTGTTTGGCTCTGCGCAGTTATGTGGGGACTTGAGCTTTTTTGTCTATAGTTCTGTCATCTTTAGGGTACTTGGATCCTCCACAGAACTTGCCATCACATTCCATCAGTCGGAACTCAGCCACATAGAAATGAAGTCCAGCACTCTTCTGAGAAAGAAGAGAACTTGGGTATTGGTGGGCACCAGGTGTCTCAAAAGTACCCAGATCATAAGGCACAATGATTGACCTTCTGGAACCATGACAAAAACTCAGCATCAATGCATCTAAAATAGCAAAGTGAGATGCTGAAAACTATGTATAATTATTATC